TAGATTTTGCAGCAAAAGTTTAACATAATAGGAGTTATCTTTACATCAATTTGTATTGTTATATTTGGTGATACAAGATGAGTTAACAAAGTCCCACTAGATGGTGACTCATTGGAATATATCAAACCTCATCTTCGTCTTGTCTTTGTCGAGTTTAGTCAGATCCATTGCTCATATGAAATAAATTGGTTCTTATACTTTATTAAAACAGTTATGCTTGTTGTACACACTTTTTTGTACCCACCAATACACTAGTTGTTATGTTTGTGTATAGCTTGTTCATCTACGAGTGTACTGGTAGGTACAAAAAATGTGCGTACAAATAGTTTTTTTTTGTTATTAAAATTCGATGTTTCATCCTTTTAGAGCATACCTAAGTCTTACACATAAGTTTGAAATGTTATATCTGAATAGTGCAATGTGACATAACAACACATATCAACGAACCCCTTAATATGTGTCCGATAATCCTCACCTATTGAGGGTCCATTTTCTAAATTTGTTGGACTGAGAAAAGTTTAATGTGCAGATTGAGAAGGTGAAAGAAGCAGAAGGGGTGAGGTTAGTGGAGAAGGACAGGAGAGTAAAGAAAATGACAACTTATAGCGCACAGTTTCTGGGAATACAATCAGCATGGACTCAAGAAGGAGGAGACAGAAATGCTGGTGAAGGTGTTGTTATTGGATTTGTGGACACTGGAATCAACCCATCACACCCCAGCTTTGCTTATGATCCCACACGCCCATTTTCGTCAGACATATCCCATTTTTCTGGGGATTGTGAGACAGGTCCTATGTTTCATGAATCTGCCTGCAATGGCAAAATTGTGTCTGCCAGGTTTTTCTCTGCAGGAGCACAAGCTGCTGCCAACCTTAATGCCTCATATGATATCCTGTCTCCTTTTGATGCTGATGGTCATGGGAGGTAGTTTTCAGAAATTGTTTTCCAAGAGGTTATTTTGTTAAAAATATAATATGCTTAGAGTTGATTTTGGTTAAGAATATTAGGGTTGGGCCGGGCCTGGGATTTGGGCGGGACTGGGTTTGGGAATTGAAGGCCCGGTACAGGCCCGAGTTGGTTCCAGCCTGGGCCGGGCCGGGCCTAGGGATTTTTAAAAAAAATTGGGTTTTCTTATTTATTCCTACCCCACCCCCAAACCACCTAGCCCCACCCGCCTGCCGCCTAGAACCTAATCCATTCAAAAAATAAAAAAAAAATATTTGGGCCCGAACCAGCCGGGCCGGTCCACCAAATAACCATCCCGTAGCCCACCCCACCCCCCCAACCCCGGTTTGGGCCCCAAGGCCTGGTCCCGGTTGGCCGGGACGGGCTGGTACCGCACAGTAGCGATCCGGGCCAGTTCGAACCGGTCCAGTCCATGCCTAGTTAAGATTGTGAAAACGTTATACTGGCATGTTTTGCATATCAACAACAACAATGTCTAAGCCTTGGTCTCAAAAGATTTTGGGATCGACTAACATGTATCGATACAAGAAGCAGAACCAAAAGGAAAAGAAAGATAAGTTGTTTAATTTCCCAAAATACCCTCACTTGTACAATTGTACCTATGTGTGTCTGTCTCGCTTCAATAGACCATGTCTGAGGTTTTGCATGAAGTGGTGTGATGCCAAAACTGAGAGGGCCAAGGGAAAGTGGGAAACACATGGAAATCTTATAAAGAATGGTACCACCTTCGTCCCGTTGGAAGGTTCCATAGCAAAATGACACAGTTATTTAGACAATAATTAAATAAAGTACTTTGAGTATATTTTAAGAAATAATTTTAATAGGTGTATATTATAATGTAGTTAGTATTGATAACTATGATGTTATAAATGTATTATTTTTAATATTTAATAATTAATTTGTCACTTAAGATTGGTAATTGTTTCCTAAAATAGAAATGAGAACCTTTATATGAGACGTCCAAAAAGGAAAGTGAGAACATTCTAATGAGACGGAGGGAGTATAAGAAAAGAAGGGGATGACTCATTTCTGAGAAAAAAAAAAGAACATAACCCAAACCAAACAAGAGAATGAAAGATTCGAATGACGCTGGTCAATGCTACATTCCTTAGAATGAAACAAGTCAGACTGCCCCTTAGTTGAATATGGTGTTTCTTATCTAAAGATCTACTCCCTCCGGTTCCAAAAGATCTTGACACTTTGACTTCACAATTTTTAAGGAAATAAACACTGTTTGACACTATTTTGTGTAGATTTATTTGCCAAATAAGGCAAATAAGGAAGTGTAAAGATCTTTCTGGTGCTGCTAAAAATGGAAAGTGTAAAGATCTTTCAGAACCGGAGGGAGTAAATTTCATGTTTGGGTTGAAATCTAAAGTTTTAAATTTATATCTAAATTTCAGCTGGATATGGTGTTTCTTATCCAAACTCTGAAGTTCTAAATTTCATGTTTGGGTTGCTATGTTCCAACCAAAGGCATAAAAGTGACCCAGAAAGTAATTTCTTATAATTTTTGCAGCCATGTGGCATCAACTGCTGCAGGGAATTCTGGGGTTCCGGTTGTGGTAGATGGATTTTACTACGGTAGAGCCACTGGAATGGCACCGCGTGCAAGGTTGGTTTTCATTGCACACCATTCACATATAAAAATACAAACCACCATATATAAAGTCTAGAAATGTTTTTGTTTTTGGGTGGATATTTTAAAAAAGAATGATAAATTAACCTTAATTTCATTATTTATTAGTATTCTTAAGTCTTTACACAGCCATGAAATATAAAAAATCGAACAAACACACACTCAGTGTACTACTCATATAATTATAAGGATAGACATCATAGAAATATGTTAAAAACTTAGGATGTTTTTACTTGGAATGCTTTCAGTCCCATACATAACCAAACTTAAACAAATCAAGTCAGACCAAATCAGACTTAAGACAGACAAGGCCCGAGTTTGACAGTTGTAAATACACAGAGACCATACATTTATCAGATCATTTTAGACTAGACTTAAACATGCCGGACTAGACCATTAAATTTCAGTCCAATTAAAAACATCTTTAACCTTATCTTCATTTTTCATTATTTTTTTTTCCTCGACAGGATTGCTGTTTATAAAGCTATATATCCAACAATAGGAGTTCTCTCAGATGTCCTAGCAGCTATTGACCAAGTAACAAATCAACTAAATTAGGAGCTAGGAGCTCCCAGTTCATAATATTTCATTTTCCTCATTCTTTTGATTTCAATCACAACTATCTGCTAACCTACTTTGCAGGCAGCGTTAGATGGAGTGGATATCCTATCACTGTCAATAGGTCCAGATGATCCACCAGAAGAAGCACTCACATTCTTGGCATTGTTTGAGATCTTCATGTTGGCGGCACACAAAGCTGGAGTTTTTGTTGTCCAAGCTGCTGGGAACCATGGTCCCAGTCCATACAGTGTGATCTCTTTTAGCCCATGGACAGTGGGAGTTGCAGCCTGCGACACAGATAGGAGTTTCCCTGGATCTCTCATTCTTGGTGATGGTAAACAAATCAGTGGTATAGGCTTGTCAGGTTTGTCCATCTCTCTTTTTCTTCCATTGATTCATGTTTTCGTACTAGGCGATTCTACCAAAAAAGGTCAAAAGTTGATATGGTGAATAGTCCAAGACATGGTCTTGCTTTTCTGATGTGGGGAACTTCCGAACTTAATGACCCTTGAGGTGGTAGTTCATTGCAGCATACCAATCTTGAAGCTTATACATTCATCTTTTTGGCTCATCCAGATGGAATTTGTCATTTGAGTTTGATGTGCTCTCTATCCTATTGAAATAATTTAAGATTTTATCCTTAAAGTTAACCTTGACCAACTTAGGACCTTATATGTTATGTTAAGTGACCCCAGACCAGCCAAATATAAAGAAACAAACTCACATATAGGCCATAAAGACTTTTAGGATAGAAGATAAGGTCTTAGGCCATATTGACTTTTAGGATAGAAGATCAGGGTTTAACATGATAATTTGAATATTAGTACTTGTGTGTGTGGCTGTGTGCTTTCTGAATAGGATGGCTATACAAATAAATTTCTCAAATATGGAATGGTTTGTTTTTTTTTGTTAGCATCAACGTTCGATGGGGGAGTTCTTCAACATAAGCTGGTTTTGGC